TATAGAAAATTTTATTTCAAAAATTTTGGAAATTTATAAATTTTTTGCACCTTTTTTCGTTTTTGAGATATTCGGCTTCAAAAAATTGACGCCCCTTTGGCCGCGGCACTTAAAAATTTTCAGACAATTAAAACTAGTAAGAGCCTGTTTTAGACCTAACTTTCAAAATTTTCATTTTCAAAAAAAGAAGCAAAAAAGGCGGTCAGAGAACTTATGGAGTAGATAGGATACCGTAAAACCTCTAATAGAACGACACCCGGATCGTCCACTTTGAGCCTATATATCTCACTTCCTGTGAAAGATATCAAAAAGTGGTTAACTAGTAAAATGTTTATCAGGATATCAGCAACATTTTACTAGTTAGCCACTTTTTGATATCTTTCACAGAAAATGAGATATATAGGCTCAAAGTGGACGATCCGGGTGTCGTTCTATTAGAGGTTTTACGGTATCCTATCTACTCCATAAGTTCTCTGACCGCCTTTTTTGCTTCTTTTTTTGAAAATGAAAATTTTGAAAGTTAGGTCTAAAACAGGCTCTTACTAGTTTTAATTGTCTGAAAATTTTTAAGTGCCGCGGCCAAAGGGGCGTCAATTTTTTGAAGACGAATATCTCAAAAACGAAAAAAGGTGCAAAAAATTTATAAATTTCCAAAATTTTTGAAATAAAATTTTCTATATTTTTCTAGCTGACAACTTTTGAAAAAAATCTTAGTTTTTGCGATATGCGCCTTTAAAATATGGGGTATCTCGGCGCAGCCTCTGTTAAGGACAAAATAAGGGAAAATTTTCTTTCCACAAAAAATGATTTTTTTTGAACTTACGTCCAAGAGTTGCAACTCTACAAGTGGTCTGTTGAGCCCATGCCGAAGCCGAGAAGACAGCCAAAAGAGCCAAGAGCTTGTACATTATTCCCGAAGAGAAGAGAAGGAAGAACATGCTTTTACCCCCAAACCCTTTCGTTTTTATACGAAACTTTTGGGTACTGTATCTTGCTAGCCCAGCTAATTAAATAGTGATTTGGCACCACCGCGTTTACAGTTTTTCAATCTTTAATTGACATCATTTATTGGGAAAGTTTGTATTTGAACAGGCGGAAGTTTTTGATTTTTTGGGAATGCACAATTAGAGCAAAGGGGTCTTAATGCAGTAAAGTTCAGATGTTGAAAATAAACGAAATGTTGCAAAACTGGAAAAACATGGATCTATGATTTTTCAGTAAGATTTATAAAAAGCCACAATCCAAAATATTCTACATCCTTCTTTGAAAAAGATGTGCAAGCTTTTGGCTCTATTGGCTATTATCGTGACTTTGGCTTCTGGAACTTCCACACCTTCCTCACCAGTTTCTGCGGAAAATAAGCCACCGGTTGCCAAATCTCACCCTTTCCAAGCTGGCCTACCAACGGCACCTTCTGGATCTTTCTCTCATCCACCTTCTTCTGGACTTTTTTCGACTGGTCTCCCAACTCCGATTACAGGACCTTCCGGTTTCAACTTTGGGTTCCCGACCCCGGCTACAACCACTACTTGCAGAACTAGACCAATTGGAGGTAAATTTTTGAATAACTCTAAATGTTTAAATTGAAATTTCCACAGAAGCCATCTACAATCAGTGTCCCACCGGTCACACCCTGATTTCCAGTGGTGAATGTTGTCCTACTCAACAAGTCCTCCCATCCCCAACCAGTCACTCGACATGCTTCGATAAGGCAAATGCCAATGGAATCAACGAATGTCCACAATGGAAGGAATACTGTCGTCACATGTTCTACAAGAGCTACATGACCCATCATTGCCCACAGACTTGTGGATTGTGTGAGTTTCATTGAAGGCCTAGGTTCCAAAGGTACATCGAAAAACATCGAAACAGTTCCTAGGGTACATTGTTTCAGAGAATACAAGAAATTTTGGGAACAGGGTGTTATAGCCTACGCTAATAATATACTTTAGAGAAAAAAGTTGTTCTTTTTTCGATGTATGATTGGATACTGGGATACTGGACCCTCATTCCCCAGAGATACGAATAATAATTAGAACATATTTCAGGTCCAGCCACCGCCTCTACCACTTGTGTCGATTCGATCAACCCAACGACTGGAAGATCTGAATGTCTCGCCAACATTGGACTCTGTAACAATGCTTCGTTGAAGGATTGGATGAAGATTCAGTGCCCAAAGACTTGCGGATACTGTCAATAATTCAATTCTTCCTTTGTTTGCTAGTGTTGTAAATAATTGAAATTTGTAAATAAACTATCATTCAGGCATCATTGACCGCATTTTTTCTGTTTCCAGTTGTACTGGTAATCTTGGTTTACGTGTCTCTCAACAATTTATTTTGGAAAAACCCTCCAGTTTTCAAATTCCATGACCCAAGTTGACTCCCAAGCAACGGACCCATGGAAAGATACTAGACCTACCGAGGAATATCGTGAGGCAGTACGATATAAGCTACAGCAAGCAAAAGAAGACCTAAGACGATCATACGAACCTGAACCTAGAAAAATTCCTTTACACGAAAAAATATGGAAAAAGCTACAAATTATAGCAAAAGCAATATGGTTTTGGTTCGTTCAAACCACTCCAAAAATGGTCAATTTCCTTTGGAATTTGCCGGAAATTATTAACAAAACGTAAGTTTGTGATTTTATGAGTTAAGGCTGAGCAATCAAAAAAACTGTTTTCAGACACACCCGCCGAGTTGGAATCCATAATGTCGCCCTGGTCGTTTTCTGCTTCACTGGCTTTGTGTTGATTTTCCTGGTTTTGTCGCAAAGTTTTTTTTTGAAATTTTCCAGAAAAAAAACATTTAATTTCCAGATATCGAAGAAGTATTCGACGACCCATCAGAATCAATCTATATTCTGGAAGTGAGTCCGTCTCACGAGTTTCTGGAAGGATGGACAGCAACGTACAATGATTGGTACACGAGAAAAGAAGACGTGGAGGATGAGACGGCTTTTGAAACGACTACAACGAATTCTACCTGATTTTAGTTTTTTGTTGTTAATTAATGAAACTGTTTTTACCGATATAAAGAGGTCAAACAGCTCTACCAAACATAAAACTGTTATCACTGGAGCGCAATTGCAAAACTCTTCTTCACCGAAAAACGCTAATAGATCGGGGTCATCTGCCACGTTGGCATTGTTTTTTCGCGTGACCTCTTTTTTGACCTACCCCTGTCTCTGGTTTTTAACACAGTGCCCGCACAAGTGCATTCAAAAGGGTCGGACCCCTCCTCGATTACGAGGAGGGGGTCATATCCTTGTGGAACGCACTGTATTAGAGAGTACCGTGCCTGATCAATCTTCCGTTTCTTGTTTTTTTTCCCTCTCGTTTTGTATTTGATTTAGAAAACGCTCTCGAGCGTTTTATTAGAAGGAATTTTGGCTAGAACAAACCGATAATGTACAGGGTGCGCAATAATTACTGACACCAAAATCGCGGTCTTGATAAGATTTTCCAAAGTAATTCTATGAGTTTTATTGAAGCTATTGTGGTTCAAATTGATGACAATAATTAATGAGCACCCTGTAGAAAACATGTTATCATTGAGTCTGTTTAGAATTGCCTGACTGCCGTTTTTGACCGCAATTTTATTCCCTTTCGAGAATTTTTTTTTATATTTAGGATTTCGATGTTTTAGGATATGTTTTTGGAATTTTCGAATATTTAGAATTTTTTCGTAGTTTCAGGATTTCAGGTTTATAAGGATTTTTAAGCATTTTCGGAATTTTCTTGGATTTCTGGAATGTCAACTTCGAGTAAGTTTTTAGTAGTTACTGTAAGAGTTATCAAACAGTGATTAACTGATGAAATTTTTTCAAATTTTGATGAACATATTATCTGTTGACCATTGTTTAGTGTGTTTAACATGAGCCGAGAGAAAAGGTTTCTCAAAGTTGAAAGTGTAGGGTCCCTTACAGGTTCTATGGGCATGTGGTTGTGCTAATTGTTATCGATTCATGTCGAATGTTTATTTCGAGCTTACCTGGTCCTTCTCACTAAAGAATCCAAGATTTTTTTAGCTTCAAAACTGTATTTTTTTTCAGCTATATTGTTTTTTTCATGTAGATTTTATGTCGAATTCCTGGTATAGTGTTACATTGTTTAGAATGAACTACAATAAGTTAGATTGCTAAGAAGATTCTTCTGAATTACCGTATTTGTTCTAATAGAAGCTCGTTCAATACTTGGACTTTCAGCTCATTTCTCTCGGTTTCTTCAAAAGATATCAGAAAATTTTCAAAAAAAGTGCGAAGTGCGCCTATAGGGTGGGTTTCTATTAGAGCTGTTACGATAGATTAGTTTTGTCCATGTAACTTTTATGTCAAAATTCAGGTAGAGTGTTTTGGTCTTCAGGATAAAACACAATAATTTCGATTGCTAGAATTGTCGAATTGTTAATTTAGGCAACGATTCGGTGAAAAATGGACAGCCCAAAGAGAATCCAGCGACTCTTTAAAATTCCGGCCAACATCATTTTCTTCTCCAATCTCTTTGATTCTTTTTGTCCGAAGTTTTTTTACGTTTTGAACCACAATACTTTTTCCAGATGAGACCTCAAACTATTGAAACCAACAAAAAATTCGCATCCCCAGCGAACGCCAAGAATTCTAGCCGATCCCCGACACCCCAAATGAATATTCAACGAGTTAACAAAGGAATCGAGAAGTTTAAAGGATCGAAGAAAAATGAAAAGTCCCGAAAACAAAAGAAGATCACAAGGAAAAATAGGAACCAAACTATGAAGACTACAGTGAGTTTTCTTCTTTTCTGAAATTGTAATTATTAAAATTGAAACATTCAGGTTCTCCAAAACATCGAAAATTCCAAAATCGAAGAAAACAAAACATTTTGAATTTTTTTGGTTTTTCAACTTTGAGTCAATTTAACTTGGTTTCTGTAAAAGGTATCAAAACGGGCTTAGCTGATAAAACGTTAATGATGTTATGATAAATGTCAGTTGACCCATTTTTTATATCTTTAACAGAAACCAAGACAAAATGTTTCAAAGTTAAGAGTCTAAAAGCCCTTCTATCACGGCATTTGTATTTGGCTGTGCTATTGGTTATCGATTCATGTAATTTATGCCTCGTTTACTCACTCATTTTGGTGGAGAATCAAAGATTTTTCAGCTTCAAATTTTTGCTTTCAATAATATCATTTTTGTTCATGTAACTTTATCGTAAAACCTGTCATATGTAGAAGGTCCCCTAGCTTTTAATTTTGAGCCAATTTTTCTCGGTCCCTGTCAAAGATAAAAAATTTTCCAACAGTCTCCAGAATAAAGCACACTACGTCCGACATTTTTTTTTTGAATTTTGAATATATGAATTTGAAGTCAGTTATCGTTCAGGTAACAATTTGCTGAAAAAAGGAACATTAAAATAAAATCAGGCAGATTGATCATTTTTAGAACCAGCCGACATCATCTTCTCGAATCTTCCAGTTTTTCTTGTCCAGATCGTTTTATGTTATAACCACAACAATTTTCCAGATGACACCTCAAACCATTGACACCAACAAAAAGTCCGCATCCAAAGCAAAGGCCAAGAGCTCTAGCCAATCCCCGACACCCCAAATGGATATTCAACGAGTTGACAAGGGAGCTCAAAAGTCTAAAGGATCGAAGAAAACTGAGAAGTCCCGAAATCAAAAGAAGATCTCAAGAAAAAATGTTGACCAAGCTACTGTGAGTTTTCTTCTTTTCTGAAATTGTAATTATTAAAATTGAAACATTCAGGTTCTCCAAAACATCGAAAATTCCAAAATCGAAGAGAAGAGAGAAGAAGCGAAGCTCCGTCGATCCCTGGAAGAAACTGTGGAGTTTTATGACAACAACCGTATTGAGGAGTGTCTTATGGAGTATTTTGAAGAAAGAGAAAATTGGAATCAGGTTCCGGATGAAAATCAAAACTATCTAGCCCCAATTATGACACTGGAGCATGTTCGCATGGTCTAATTCTTTGTGAATTTTTATTTCATCATGCTTCTTCTGTTCACTGGAAATTGACACTGTTTTATTTCTTCCCCTGTTTTTGACCATATTCCAGACTCAATCTTTTGTTTTAAAGCTATCTCAAAATTCTCTTTTTTTACCTTCCGATCTCTTGATTTCTTTTGATCGGTCCTTCAATTCATTTCCCATATTTTCTGTATCTCGCCTGTGTTTTTTTTACATATACGGTTTGTTTTTTCTTTTGTGAATAAATGCAATCGTGTGGATAGTTGAATCCGAAATTGAAGCTTTTAGAATCTCGGAAATCTGAATATCCTTTCAGATTCCTACAAATCTCAGAATTTTCCAAAGATACATGATTTTTCGAACTTCAGTAGAAGCTCAAAAAACGTTTGGTTCTTGTGATTTCAACCGTTTCAGACCAAAAAGGACTTTGTTTGAACAGATGATGGGTCAGAAACTAGAAAAAACTTGTTTATGGGATCATGTTGAAAAAATGATCATTTTGAAAAAGTGAGTCCGACTGAAAACATTTTATCTGCAAAAATGCGAAATAACAAGGATCTCTGCTCGCTCAAAAACTTGTAAATTGAGCAATGTAATGAGCTATAAAAGGACGTAACTCGAAATGTTCAACATCCTCCTCTGTGAAAGATGTGCAAACTTTTGGTTATTTTGGCTATTGTGGCTTCGGCTTCTGGAAAATCCACACCTTCAACTCCAGTTTCTTCGGAAAATAAGCCACCGGTTGCCAAGTCACATCCTTTCCAAGCTGGCCTACCAACGGCACCTTCTGGATTCAACTTTGGGTTCCCAACACAAGCTACAATTCCAGCTCCAACAACTACGTCTTGCAGAACTAGACCAATTGGAGGTAATTTCTCAAGATGACCTTTAGAAAGCTTTAAAAGGAAACTTCCAGAAGCCATCTACAATCAGTGTCCCACCGGTCACACCCTGATTTCCAGTGGTGAATGTTGTCCTACTCAACAAGTCCTCCCATCCCCAACCAGTCACTCGACATGCTTCGATAAGGCAAATGCCAATGGAATCAACGAATGTCCACAATGGAAGGAATACTGTCATCACATGTTCCACAAGAGCTACATGACCCATCATTGCCCACAGACTTGTGGATTGTGTGAGTTCTCTATTAGATCCATAGAAATAACTAAAAAGTATTTCAGGTCCAGCCACCGCCTCTACCACATGTGTTGATTCGATCAACCCAACGACTGGAAGATCTGAATGTCTCGCCAACATTGGACTCTGTAACAATGCTTCGTTGAAGGATTGGATGAAGATTCAGTGCCCAAAGACTTGCGGATACTGTCAATAATCAAATTCTTCTTCTTTTTTTTTGGCGTAGATCGCTAGTGTTGTAAATAATTGAATCTTTTTAAAATAAATATTCATTCGGGCAATTCAGATGATCTCTGGCATAATTGAAATTCTGGGTGAACTCCTACGTTCCTTTGAGGAAGAGAGTTTCTAGCAAAACATTGATTTGTAAAGCTTTTTCAGCTATATATTTCACACTCAGATAGAAACAATATTATCATTTTTGAAAGCAGTTGGGATCAGAATTGCTGATATTCTACTTCCTGTTTCTAACGTTAAAATGGGAAAGCCATTCATCACTTAACTTTTTTTCCAGGAGCTCAGTGGATGGTCGGGATTAACCTAGTCGTATCAAGGACCTAATTTTTCACGAGTAACACGTTTCAGATGGTTCAAAATTTATCGGATGCACAATTTGAAGCGATTCTACAGGAAGCCAGGCAAAAATGATCTGCAGAAGATAAAATTGACATTTTCTGCAATAGTAGAATTTATGAAGATTTAGAGGAGTACTTCAAAGAACGAGAAATTCAGATTCCTTGGAAAATGTTTGAACATTTGCTCACCCGTTATCTTCTCTTTTTGTATTTCATCTGTGTTTGAATGTGTATTTTATTTTTCATCAACAAAAACCCCGGTTTTCAGATATTCGTTCAAAATTTGTAGCTAAAAATTTACAGACGAGACTTTCAAAGCTAATATTTTGAATTTGGAAAATGTCTAGGTCACTCCAGGATATAAAACTATATTTGAACAGCTGCTTCTGTAAAAACCTTGTTTTCACAGAATAATGGTTGTAATGATCATCTGTTGAAATGTTTGAAATGTTTCCAAAAATGCAAATAGAGATTTATTTTTAAAAAGGGAGTTTCAAAGTTCAGAGCAAATATTTTCGCGGAAATCTGAAAACTTGGGACCTATAAAAGCCCACTGATTTCCTAGGAAAGTCATGTTCTCCCATCTCCTACTGGAAAATGTATAAGCTTTTGGCTCTTTTGGCTCTTGTCGTGTCTTCGGCTTCAGGAATTCCAACACCTTCACCTCCAGTTTCCTCTGAGACGAGCTCTGAAAATAAGCCATCAGTTGCCAAGTCGCACCCTTTCCAAGCTGGTCTACCAACTGGACTGTTCTCGTCTGGATCCTCATTCAATCTTCCAACTCAAACTACAATTTGTAGAATCCGCACTGTTGGACGTGAGTTTCCAGAGTCCGCTATCTTCTTTCATTAATTATTTCAGGCTCCATCAACAATGTTTGTCCAATTGGATTTACCGTAATCACCAACGGTGAGTGTTGCATCACTCCGCAAGTATCCACTTCTGGATCTACCGTCTTCCCACCTTCAACTATCTCCCCACTTCCTCCATTCGCCTGTGCCGATCGTTCAAACACCAATGGAATCAACGAGTGTCCAGGATGGAGAAGCTACTGTACCAACGTCTTCTACAGAGACTTCATGGCCCGTAACTGCCCACAAACTTGCGGACTCTGTAAGT